TATAAAAATCAATTATTCAGCTGTTTAGATAATTAATCTTATTAATTAGTTAGTAATCGTTATTAGTAGCATTTACGCATTACGTATCGAACAAGTCCCCGGTTTGTGTACGCACACATACTTGTTTAAAGATCAAATACATGATGACATTCATCAAGACATATTGTTCTTATCTAATTAAGATTCTACACGGAAAGAACGGTTTTACTAAAGCATCTAAAAAAGCTAAATACAGATCTGCAAATAATTTTGTTGAACTATCAAAACAATTATACCGAACGCTCAAACTGGTTGCTAAAATGTCAAAATTTTTTTACATCATTGCTCATAATGTTTCATATTCTTACGTAATTATTTTGATCGTGAAATAATATTACAATTATTTTCAGATCTAGCTAAAAAAAATTTTTAGATATACATCAACAAAGTCATTCTTTCCACCAAATGTACCATATGTAGCTGTTGTTAGAAAAGCAATCTAGTTGTAAATTTTTGCTCAAATAATCTATTTCAGGTCCAGTTTTTCATTTTCTGATTAACTTGTGATTAGGCTTAACCTAATGTTTTATCTAATGGGCTTCATCTATGATGTCACAGGTGAAGCCCATTGAGTGAAATATTAGGTTAATTTTAATTTTCATTATCTGGTTAATCACAAGTTAATCAGATAATGAAAAATTGAATCTCAAAATGATAATATACACTAATCGTCGCAATTCGACAAGTCGTGTGACAATATGTCTTGAATTACCCATACAATATAGACATCCAAGGGACGTTCTGAAAACGTCTGCAAAATGTCTCTGTATCCTCCGTTCTAAAGATTTCCAAACTGTCTTTTGGATAAAATGTGCTGTATGTGTTATGATTACAATGGAGTCGAATTCTTCCTAAATTCAATACGATATCTACAAAAATAAATTTTCAAGTTTCCGGCAGATCTCAAATCCATTCAATCCGTCGAAACGTGCAATGCATTGCAGTGTTAATTACAGAAAGAAGAAACGCGGACCCGTTTGCATAGCACGTACCGGTTACATCCTCATGTACATATGTATACAGGGTATTCGTAATGATTGGGACCAAAAACCTGTACAGTGTGTTAATGAAGTCGAGTAGATTGAAGTCGGAAGTTGGAAGTCGGATTTTTCAGAAAAAAGAATCTTCGAGCATTTATTATTACTCGGATAATAAATGATATTATTAGTTATTACAAGAGTTACAGTAAATGTGTTCGAAAATTCTTCCTTTTGAAAGAATGTGTAGGCTTTCATTTGCCAAATTAATGTCGAACTCTTTCGAATATTCCTACTGTATTAAAAATAGTAGTAAATACACACGCACACACACACATTCTGCTCGTAAATCCTTGAATGTTTATAACTTTTTAATAAAATATTTTTAGACATAAGTTTATATAAACTATTTTCATGTTTGGTCCTCGATCTCTTGGCGGATACCTGTATACATAATTGTTTATAAAAATTTTTTAAATAAATTTAAAAAAATTTTATTTATTAAAATTAAATAATAAATTAATAAATAAGCAATAATATCGAGGAAGATACAAATTTCATAGAAACGCCTTTTTATTAGAAACTATAATTAAATATATTGCCATTATTTAGAGAGCAGTGAAGTGGATAAAATGGTCTCGCTGTTCCAAATTACTATTATCAGCATCTGTCTCTTCCCATTAACAATTATCTGCACTAACCACCATGAGTGCCATTATTGACACAACTATTTTTCTCATACTGCATAGACATACTCTCAATGTATGTTAAACAACTATAGTGTATGAGAATTATAGGTATGTAACTATTATTCATACGCGTCTTGAAATTGATCGATATGTTCGATTGTTTCCTGTTTATATCAATTTCAAAGAATTGATATAACGATGCGCTAACTTACGTAAATAAATGACAATTACGAAACTGTTTTATTTCATATATATTTTTATTTTAATTAGGCGAATAGAAGTTGCAGAATAATTTAAATTATTTTGAAAATTTATATTGATAAAGACTAATTATATCAAATAAGGAGCACGATTTCGCGCGTGTACATTTGAACACATTTGCTATTTAAATTTTTATCTAGATATACAGAGTATTCTAAAACCATGAGATTTATTGTAGTAATATTATTATTGTGTAATTTCATTGATAATAATTTGGCTGTAGTAGTAGATAGACTTTTGAATTAAGCTTCAGAAGAGAGAAAATTATATTCATTGCAATATCCTATTCCTTAATTAATTTTTTTAAAATAATAAAATAAAATGAACTTTATAGGATTTTAATTTCAAGATTATAGAGAATTATGAAAATAAATAATAGTAAATAAAAATAGCGGGTCCATTAACAATTTACATTTTCTGCTACGGAGAAATTGTCTTCAGACATTACAAACCAACTGTAACAAGGAAATATATCTGATAATTTTCTCTAAATTACAATTATATGCATCACGGAAAAAAATGTTTGATTGAATTAGCTGGAATTTTGGTGAAAAATAAACGATCTAGAATTCTGGTTAACTACTAAAGTCTACTAGAGTTCTGATTAAATTTACTAAAATTCTAATAGATTTAACCAGGAAAGCTGAATGTTGATTATTTCAACTAGATTATTTTAACTAGAATTCTAGTTAATTCAACCAAACATTTTTCTCCGTGACTTAATACTAACAAATAACTGACGATTCATAATCTCAAGGGTAATTTAATAGATTTTTGCCATTAAACTTCTCTGCATTGTGCACTTACAGACGATTATTTCGCACCCTAGTTTTGTCAGGTCAGATCGTATCAATCGATTATCCCTGAGGGTATCCTCCATCCAACATTGAAAGTACCCTCCATCCAGTGCCAAAATTGTATTAAAACAGTCTTGGCAACGATCGACAACAAGGATCGGCGTATCATACCGATTACAGAGAAGAACGGAAGGCCGCTGCTTAAAAGCGTGGGCGACGCGGTAGTGAGCGCACCAGATCGGTGGGCGGCTACCAGATCGCCCAATTGGTCGATCGACTCGGTAATGGTTGGTGGGCGTTGGGTAAGCTCAGATGCGCGGCCAGCAGTGCGCACTTGGCTGGCTTTATCGGCTCTCTTTCTTTCTCTCTCCTTCGCTCTTTCTTACTATACATCCCCACGATATCTATTCCCCACCTGGTCTGTATATCGCATCGACTAGGTCTCGATAGAGTCTCCCTTGCCCCCGTATTTGGCATCTTCCACTCCGCGTCTACCCTTTACGATCAGACCTAGTGTAATCAGTAGCTTCTGCGTCTTTGAAAGTTTGAACCGCGGCCACTTTCCTTCCCCCATATTCACCTCCTTCATCAACACGGCTACCCGCCACCGATACCGCGGCGCGGCGCCTTAAATCTTGATCTCTTCTTCTCGGCGGGTAGAAGCAGAAGAACGGAGTCTTTTGCGGGAAGAGTATAAGGTGGGGGTAAGGCTAGTCTGGGCGCGCTTCGAGCGGAGCGCGCGGCGGTAGGCAATCTGTTCGAATACGGCGGAGAGCGAGCAGGTTGCCCCGCGTAACGCACTCGCGTCTGGTCGTCCAAAGATAGTGCGAGAGAAGGGTGGTTCCAAAAGAGCATCACGCTATCAAAGAGGAAAGCGAAACCGTGTCACGTGTATATCACGTTGTAGCAGCTGATAACCATTGTTGAGCAACGGGAACCTTCTAAAGAGACGAATTGAAAAATTCGCTTTTCGTTCCTCACGCTCGAGCACGAACGAGATAACTTCGGCAAGTCGATCGCGTGACAAGAGAAACGGTGCATCGGTGAGAAGCAGTAGAACTGTCGTAGGGACAGAAATAAGAGAAAAAAGAATAATCATTTTCGTTCAACGAAGTTTATCTCTCTTTTACGCTTTCTTTTATACCTAAGGAGTGCGCGAAGAGTCGAATCTGGTGATCTGTGTGTTGAAAGAAAAAAGATGAACGGAGAACGGGGTATGAGGGGAGAAATCAACCGCGTATATGGAGCGACGGGGCAAGTCACGTCACATTAAATCTTGATCTCACCTCGGCGAGTCTCTAGTCGCGGGAGGGGGAAGGTCTGGGCGCGCTTCGAAAGCCCGAGCGGAAGGCAATCCGCTCGAATCCGGCGGAGCGCAAGCAAGCTACCCCGGTGCCGTAGTAGCCCTCGTTGCCTGTCATTGGAGAAGGGAGCCCTCGTAGGCGGAAGAAACGAGAGGGCGATCGACACGCGAGGAAGAGTACGGAGAGGGAAGAGGGCCAGGTGGAGGAGAAGAAAGAGGAGGAGGAGGAAGAGAAGGAGGAGAACGTGGTCACGAGCTTCGTCGAAGGCGCCTGCGCTCCAGTACTCCGCGCCTTCGGTTCCTCAGCTTCGACTAGGCTCACCGCTCAAGTGTCGCGACGGCGTAAAAGCTCGCGTCGCGATGCGTCGTGATCGTCATCGTGCGATCGTAGAAGTTCCGCTCTGCTAATCGGTTCCGTAGCGTTCACGTTTCGCGTCACATGGCGAGTCCGTGTTTGTGCTGTCAGAAGGATAGTGGCTGACGGTGGTATACACGTGACAGTTCGGTGGACAGTTTTCAATGAAGATAAGTTGAAGTTTTTTGAAAACAAATGGGAACTGCAGATATTCGGCGAATAAGACGGGAATGCGTTGAATTTGTATCGGACTCTGTCGATGTGCATGTAGACAGGGATATAACAACAAAAGAGAAATATTCGGGTTTTTAACGATAATGAAATCCACAAGCGACCCTGTTAATAATTTCTGTGGTATATCGTTTGCACAGGTTGAAAAATGCTCGTTCAGCGATATTGCTCAACGCACAAGAGAATATTCTTAAGCGCTGTACTCCAAACGAGAGTAATGCCAAATGATACGTTAACCTGTAGATACTTGTCAATATTCTGAGAATCGCGATTAGCGCGTAGAAAAAATCGGTTGAATGCGAGAAACGGAAGTGATTCAAAGACAGACGTGGTACATTCGCAGAAGTGGAGGAAGAACGGGAGAGGGAGGAGCCGTTGCTGAGCGTGGAGGGGGCGGAGGTGAGATCGTCTGGTGATGATGATCGGTGGCGGCGTCGCGACCCCTCCTGGTACTGCCAAGTCGGCGGCTGCGATCGACAGCGAAATGGTACAGGTCGACGGCATTGGCAGTGGTAGTGTCAGTGGCAGTGCTAGTGGTAGTGGTAGCCCAGCAACGGGTGCAATTACCACGCGCCTCACGAACAATAGCAGTAGCGGTACCAATAACAATAATAACAACAACAATAATAATGGGGAGATTAGCAACAATAATGACGGACACGGAGTCGCGAATTGCACCGGTACGACCGCCTCGAGCGCAAGTGACAAGTTCTGCTGTCAGGACGAGGACGTTCCCGCTAGCACTGGTGTTGCCCGACCTTGGGAACCACCGTCGCCGACCTTCTCCCAAACGAGATCGCACCTGCTGCAGGTACATCCGCCGCACCATCACCAGCAGCATCCGGCGGCGCATCATCACCAGCAGTTGAATGTACCTGCTTCCCTGATCGATGGTGAGTAGGAATGCGAAGGTATTCGCATCTTTAAGTCGAATCGAATTCGATTATTCTCGTCGAATTCGATTTAACGTTCCATTTAGTTCCCATGCCTGTTGTTTTCTTTTCACACGGTAGCTCTCTGTTATAATAATATTGTATAACAGGTATATATCGAATAAATCATTGTTTAAAACAAGCACAGCCTTTATATACAAATGTTATTGCAATAATCGTTTAAAGTTACATGGAAAGAATGATTTTATTGAAAAATCTAAAATTTTACTGGATACAGATCTGAAAATAATTGCATTAGACCATTAAAATAATTACGTTGAAAACTAAAAAATAATGAACAATGCTGTAAAAAAGTTTGATTTCTAGCAACCAGTTTAAATTTTCAACAAAATTACTTCGATGATCCAACGAAATTATTTTCAGATTTGTATCCATTAGCAAAATTTTTAATCTTTTAGCAAAATCGTTCTTTCCGTGTTTGAACGAGATCCTCGGGTATACTAAACTCATTATAATAATTAATTCATAATTGGAATGTTCAATGAATCATGAGAAGATAAATATTTACATTGAAGAATATTAAAGAATTCCCTAAGACCGCGTAAATATGATTACACAACAAGTAAGGAATAAAGCTTTTAACGGTTAAGCTGGATCTTAGGTACTTAAATAATTTGGTGTGAATTTATATAGGTACTATATATGTGTAGTTATTTAAACTGCGCGCCGAAATGATTTTTCGCTCTTCAAACGCAATTCGATTGAACTACTGTAGTAATATCACAAATTAAATTGACCAACAATTAATAATTTAATGTTTATAGGCATCTTAGAAAGATCTTAATGATGTCATTTTCATTCAAATCTGTTGCAAATTAAATGTTTACTATATACGTTGTAACAAGTTTTAATTCTCACCAAAAGCGACATGCAGGTGCTTCTGCGTTCTGTTATAAAAATATTTTTGTATACGTCCCGATTATATTCTTTTTTCTTTTTTGGATATTTGAGATAAGATAGATATATATATATGTGTATAAGCAATGGAGACCCAATTAATTTCGTTGCGTCATGATAAGTCGATAATTACAGAATACGTCACGAACCATTATTTACAATTGTGTTTCATGCGCTTTATTATACCAAAATTACATAATACGGTATTTAATTTCAAACAGTTATTTAATGGAAAAACCAAATATCTGAACCATCTGAATATACTTTGGCAATTATTAAAGACAATATTAGAAACAATAATTAATGAAATGAAATAACGAGACAGTACAAAAAACGTGGAAATTTTATAAAACTTATGATAATAATTTTTCTTGGAAAATTCTTTTATTATCGATTTTGTCAAATTTCTTTTATATGATATCGTATGGTTTTGAAATAAATTTTGACCATTTCGAGAAATGTCAAAAAATTAAACGGTGAAAAGACAATCTTCTGATTAACTGTATTTTGTTTTATATAATATGCATATATTTTATGTAATATGTTATTAAGTTGCTGGTTATATGGAACACTTATATAGAACAACTAATAAACATATAATTTACAAATATAATAACAGTAACATACAATTTAATCATTATATATTCCTGATAACGTAGAAGTTAAATATGTGATACACGTGACGATAAATGAGAGAGTATATCGATTATATCTTGTTTTGATGAGAGATAACCAAGTAACTAATTAAATTATGAATCGCTTCACGATCTTTTACCGCGCGAACCTTTCGATGCGGGATGGTAACAGCAATTAACATTGAACACCTGTACAGACGAACACCTGTACAGGACTTGTCTCGTAACCAACGTTAATGGAAGCATTTTTCGCCTTTAAAAAAATCTCAGAAGGATTACGAAATCTTGATCGTAATTTTGAAATATAATATTCAACTTGTGTGAATCGTAAAAATAGAAGAGTAAATCGGAACAGTATCCACATATACTAAATAATTTCTGTTTCAGAGATTCAGAATTATCACGATTTTAATCGCCATATCATATATAAAAACTGTTGTATGTCAACTAAATCAATTTACAAAATTTTAAATAGTTTCAAAATATCTATACAAAAAGAACATTTTACTAAAGTAATTAAAAATTTATCTAGATATAGATCTGAAAATAATATTATTGAACCATCGGATAAATGTTCAATAATATTATATATATATATTTTTAGATTTATATCTAAATAATTATATGAAAAGTTAAAGCATTAATGATACTGCAAAAGTTTTAACATTCTAGCAACCAACTTTAATATCTTATATAGTTATAATTTTGATGGTTTAAACAAAATTATTTTCAGATCTACACATTTAGCTAAATTTTTAACAAACATTAAAAAAAACAATACTCAAATATAATCGGGAAGCATCAAAGTTTTTCTGCGTAAAATGCCCCAAACAAACGCGACGCTTTCTGTTGCGGATGCAGTTCATTATCAATGATTGTCGCCGCCTCTTTTCAGCCATTAATTAAGTTGTCAAAAAACGAGGAAGAGCAAAATCCTGCGATTGTACAACAGAATCGTCACGGCTTATGATGTTATTTAACACACGACTGTAATGTGGCGAACTCCTTATTTGCTCTCTACGATACACGAATGTCTGATGCAGCGTGAAATGCTCTCTGGTTGCTTGCCTCGTAAAACCGTTGATAAAAGAATAAAAAGACATGCTCGATTGAGAGTAGTGGATATGCGCCTACGACGACATGTTCAACTACCGCGCGTTCGCGGATCTTTCCGTGATTTGCACTTGCCAGACGGAGCACGGGGGCTACCAAGTATTGCACTCATTCGGAACCGGTTTCAATGCGTTGGCAACGCGAGTATTTCTCTTCGGATCGGCGAACGTATTACTCTCGTTTAACGCTCAATACCCGTCCATCCCGCGGGTACTCTCGCGTTTGCGGAGCACTTCGTTCCAGAACCACGAGATTTTACGACCACACCCAGATCGTTTCGAGGCAGATACCATGTACACAACGTTTTCGTTCACGAGCGAGCAGAAAGGAAGAGAAAAAGATAAAAAAAGGACAAAAGAAAATGTGTTTCAGGTGTTCTGGTAGCACTTATGGCACTTGGCCACATGAACCACCGTATGAAAAATATATATGTATACTAATAACATAAACAACGAAGTTGTGTCTGATGATTGCATTGAAAGAGTAACATTCTTTTCCGACAATGTAGCATCCATCATCAAAATCATAGACGTAATGAGAAAAGACTGCGGATTATTATAAAGTTGTCACCATTTAGAAAGAGTGAAGTAGCATAGAGATGTAAGCGACGGAAAAAAACTAGAATTTTAAGGTAAAAAACTCGGAAAATAATGGTTTTTTTCCTTTGGTTTTGACAGTTTTTTTATACTTGGATATTTTTTTTAACGTTCCACGATTTCGACGCTGTATTATTGCTCTAAAATTTAGTTTTTGCACTTATCCGTAAGATTTCTGTGTAAAAATAATTATAAAAGTAAAAATACTGTATAATAATTAATATAGTATAATGCCGGTGGTCATAAATATACCTTACACTATTATTTGAATGATATTTTATACTGTACTTCAATTTTAAAAGTTAAGTAAGTGGTCCATACTGTCATTAATACAAATAATACTTTACTAGACTAATTGACTGTTTATGTTGTATACTGTGATTGTAATTATACATATTCTAAATTTAAATTAGTGAGACAACAATAAAATTATAAAGACAAATTTTATTAAATAGCATCGAAATAACAAGAGAGAAAAATGAATTCTATTTCTTCTACATATTTAACACGAATTCTAAACGTTTTTTCATGAATTTTATGTAATTTGGTCAAAAATACCGTTTTTTACTTGATATTTTTCTCCGAAGTCAAAAATACCGTTTTTTTACATCTCTAAGCTTAAATCATATCACTTTCTTTCTCTAAAGTATTGAATTAAGAGATGCTGATAGAATTGGGAAGCTAATATGATTTAAAATTCTTTCTAACGAAGCACAGATGTTATAAGATTAGGCAATGCGCAGTTTTTTCTATTACGTCTATGATCAAAATTAAATTTATACTGAGAAAAATGGTTTGATGGGATTGGAATTCTGATGGAAAAAATGGACAAATCAGAATTTTCTTACAGAATAAATTTACAAATACTTCAGAAAAACCATTCTTTCCGTGCAATACTATGTATTTGAGTAAATACAATTTGTTTAAATGTCGGATTATATCTAAATTGATTCTTTGAAATTGCAATTTGATAATATTGTTTGCGAATTAAAAGTTATGAATAAATCCGATAAGTGGTAGACAAAGCTCCTGCTTGATTTGTGCGAAAAGCGCTAATCCAGCTTACGATCCGATATGAGTTCACGTTGTTTCTGATGTTGAGCTCGATTCTTAACAGCAAACGATGCCATGGGATTTTACGACTCTACTCAGAGTGTTTTGAAATAGGTACACTTCGCGGTTAATAGCTGTCTTCGCGCAGCACTTTGTTACAGCTTTGACGACCAATCGTTGAAAGTGTCCACGAAGATATATGCACTAATTACGCGTAGAATATACTACTTGCTAACAGGTTACAATTTCGCTAAGAATTGTGATTTCCTTTTTCGTAGTATTCATTCTTTGACACTAGCTTTGTTCAAGTATCTATAAAAATTTAACTAAACTATTTTCTAGTAAATTATAAATAACACCCACTTTATGGCAGAGGGGGGGATGATAAGATATTTCTTAGAGTGATACTTCTTACGTAATTATTTTGATGGTCGAACAAAATTATTTTCAGACTTGTATTCATCTAAATTTTTAGATTATGTTACGGGCAATTAAATTGCCTGCTGTACAATGTCAGCATTGCCCGGACCGTGTCAATACATTGCCTAACCCAATCGCGTTGGACAATGTTGACACGGCCCGAGCAATGCCAACACTGCCTACTATTCGGATTTTGTCCGTAAGAGGTACATCAGCAAAATCGTTCTTTCCGTATGAACTTCATGTTGAACTGTACTTTCTACATCTATCTAAATCGTATTTATTATACTGAAAAAAAAGATTGGCTGCTACAGTAAATTAGATGATAAAATATGGCATAGCATTTTTAATTGGTTGCAGCAGTCAATTTTTGGTTGTGTTAGTCTATCGAAATCCTATACTGACATTGCAGATAGGCTAACGCAACCAATTAAAAATGCTATGCCATATTTTACCATCTAATTTGCTGCAGCAGTCAATCTTTTTTTCAGTGTATCACTTCTAATTATAATAATAAATTAATTTATTAGTATAAGAAGATAAAAAGAATAGTTTGCAGTTGGCTTTCCTTATCGCACATTCAGTGTTATAAATATGATACCAAATTACATAATCCTATAACATTTAATTTGGAATATTACATCATTTAACATAAAATGCAAACAGAGATCAATATACGTATGATGTCATGAATTAAATTTATGAATTAATAATTAATAATTAACCATACATGATCACGGTGACGCGTAACATAGTTTCGAGATTTTATAATTATGTCTTATAATGTACAATGTTTGCGTCAAGATGTATGAACATCTTCATTTGTAAATGAATTCCTTCTCAATTCTCTCTTCGGTAATATTTCGTCACGGACTCAATTAATCAAAGAGTTATTACGTAAAATGCTTGCTCGCGTATCAATTATCGATTACATGTACAATTTACTTTTAACACGATTTCTGTAAAAATTATAGTCTGATAATATAAGATTACTTTTTTGCGAAACGCTGCCCTCGAGTATAAATGCAACTGTGTATGTGTTTATTTAAATCTTATCCCCCCCCCGTGTAAAAAAATTCATAAATTAATTTGTGCTCAAATTTGACCTGCAAGATTTTATTTCTACTTGATTAAAATTATTATAAGACTCAGATTATATATAAATATAGTTTAAGTTACATATGTCATTGTATCACCTTAGACTCTATATTCGATTCATTTTCTTTCCACTATACACATATACAGATATGAACTTCATATCTGCATGCAATCATTTCCTTTTGAATATTCTTTTTAAATAATTTAAGTGTGTTCTGTTGCGTTTTATCTTTATGCGTGTGTGTGTTGCAAACAAATGGTCTGCATCTAAGAGTTAACTTGATTCGCGCACTGTCAGCAAACACTCGTAACGCGACTCGATTTTACTTGAAACCATCTGCACTCAGTCCAGATAAAACCACTCATCAGAAGCGCAGAGTGAACGATCTCACGAAGTCACCGAGTCTGCAAAAAGACAATCGGCTTTCCAGTTTTTTTCTCTATTATCTATTACTGCCGTAGATCAAGCGATCGGTCTTTACTGGCGGCGATTTCGAATATACGGACGAATATACCATGAGGCCTGATGCCAGAACTCGTTCAGAACCGGTTCCCGCTTGGTGTCGATGCAACGATGGGACGCATTTCTTTCTGTGCATCGGCTACTTTCGTTTTCACGACACCTCCGATCGCTTTGACACGAAACGAGCGCGGAATGCGCGCCCGATGTGCCATTCGAAGCGGATGGGATAGGCGCGAGACTCGCAGGATTCGCATAAGTTTTATTCGACGTTTCAAGCAACCATTGCAAACGAGATTCCTTGGAAAATAATTTTAGTAGCACTTCAATTTTGTAACAAAAATTCCCTAGAAATTTTACGAATATAATTGACATGTTTTTTCTCTTTCATTAGATCATCGTGACTTATACAGAATCTGTGAAATTTATGATCATTAATATGATCGTACTACCGGATATTTAACTTAGATTTTTTGTTAGTGAAAATATAGTAACAATATTTTTAAATAGTAATAAACCAAAAAGACTAAAAAGTTAGCAAAAATGTGAAGAATATGTAAAATGCATTTACTACATTTGACGCTTATCAATGTAAAGTACACGGAAAGTACGGTGTTTTGCTGAAATATTTGAAAACTTAGCTAGATGCAGATCTGAAAATATGTAGTTGGATAAGACCATATCAGTCCCTGTATGGGATATACTGAATCTAAGTCAAAGGAGTCACTTTGGATGTAAAAAGTTTCTCTGCGACTCTTGCTAAGTCAGTACGGATTACAAAATTTTTCTGTGTACACGAGATGCGGGATTTAAACTTGCGACCGGTCGATTACGGAGTTACATGACATCGCAGTGTTAATAAATTCGTCCAAAAAGTATCGTGTCAATTTTCCTTCTCCAGATTACAGTTAATTTAAATGCTGATTAACTGTATTCCTGATGAGGAGCCATTAATAATTAACTATATTATCGTTATAAGTTGTGCAAAAGTGACCGTTCGATTACGCGAATAACAAATTGCAAATGATCTGCGCAAGATGCATTTACCGAACTGATTGGTAATACACTTAGCTCATAAAGGACTAATTAATTAGACGTTCTCACTATGTAAACGAACTGCCGCGAATTCACGCTGAGTTCACTCGTTGAAACCAATTAAAACAACGCGGTACAAATGAGCACGACGGACCTGTTTTCTACCAACACTCAGGATTTAATTTCACCCGACGGTCTCCTCCCGCGATCGCCGAACTCCTTATGTAAGATCGACTGGATAAAAAGCTATTGCGCTCCTCGTTTACAAAATGACAGGTATTACACGCTCTTTATATTGCCATATATCGTTCGATCGTAAATTGGCATCTGGGCGACTTTCCGCACTAAACGTTGTTAAGATTAGTCGACAGTGCGATTACGAGGAAGCTGAACCTATAATAAGCACATCATAATTTTGATCGCAGACACTGCCGGTACAGTAATTAACATCTATCTCACATTTAATTCATATTATCTTTAAGCTCGCGTCGATTTACGCTTGAACCCTCGTTTCGCCTTGTCGCGATTTTATTGGCTATGCTGTGTAATTACGTTTTCTCTCCTTGAAGATTATTTCCTACGAGTCAATTTTCCACTTAGTATATTCTTCGCTTTCTTGATATCACTTTAGTCTTTTTGGCTTATTACCATTTAAAAATACTATCGCTACATTTTCACTAAGAAAAAAAATCTAAATGAAACATCCGGTGGTTTTTAAACCAAATTCAATAATCAGAAGTTGTGCAGATCAAGTCATGATTATTTAACTCGTAACAGGAAAAGAGGAAAATACTTTTTGTAACGTTAAAATGTATGGGCTTATTATAATTTTTTGTTATTAGTTTTAGGAGCTTTAAAATGTTCAATCATATAAAAAGTTGCAACACTTGAACTTAACATAAATATAATACTATAATTGGACTATATAAATAAAACAATACAGAGAGAGAGAGAGAGAGAGAGAGAGAAATAAGATTATGAAACATAAAATTATCTCAAAAGAGTGAAACTTATTCAAGAGTAAATATTTTTATTTTTTTCAGTAGTGGCAATATTTTAATTCAAAGTGAAATTTCATTCCAAGAAACTTAGAGAGTTGATTGGCATGTTAATTTAAAAGCAAAGATAATCATTGAAAATTAAAATAACATTGATAAACACCTGAAACCAAAGCTCTTGTAATATATTATTAAAAAGAATATACGTAAATGCTGAGCGAGGTAATATCCATGCGAGTATGAATATAAGTTAATTATTAACCATAATTTGAATGACAGGTCTCTTGACTGCGCTTTTAACATTCTTTAAAACCATATCAATAACAGGATCGCGACATCACGTTTAGTAACTGAAATTAAAGTGCCTCAACGTGAAGTTATTTGACCATGACCACTTTCGTCACAGCGATTAAGCAGCCGATTGTTAATTTAACGAAGCATTCAATTGACTTTGGGGATCTTAAAAAGGATCTTCGTAAGAAAAATAGATCCTCGATTATTTCTACACCTGTAAAATCATCAATCTCTCGAATCTTGTTAACCAGTTTACGAAAATAATCCAAAGTTAAGAACGAAGATGTAATAATAAAATGTAATCGAAACAGATTTCGTCCTAGCAATTATCATTAGTTGTTCGGTATAATAATTTCATTATTATACGTATTATAATGAAATATTTCTCTTGCAGGTGTGAATTTACAAAATTGTACGGCCGGTCCTTTCGCCAGTGGCAATAATGGCAACGCATCGCGTCAACGTCTAATCGAATTGTCACATGGATTAGGAGCACTCAGGCATTACAACGATCTCGCCAACCACGTGTTGTCATTAAATCAACAGGGCGCAGTCGTTACGAAACTTTTAGGTTTGTAAAGTGTATTTTTACGATTTACCGCGAGTTGCCTTACGCGCGAGGAGAATCGCGTTCATGATACGCTCGATATTATACCCCACGTTGTTTTTTTCTTATCGTTGGCGATAAGAATATGCAAATTATTGGGTGACATTCCGAACACGAGAACTTACGTAGGGAAACTACTCCGTTGACATATCACTATTATGTTCGTCAACCACTATACCTATCGCGAGTATCGAGCGCCATGCACGCATTACGTACGTAATTTCGATACGAAGTCAAGGCAGAAATCACCCATTTATATTCTACGTTCCGAGAATATCATCGATCCTCCGGAAATGAAAGAAAAATAGATATTGGAGATACACAAAAGAAGATTTTCCAAAGTCGAGAACTATTAGATAGACTGATATAAAAGGTTTTTGTCATATTTGTCAAATAAAGTTTTAAAATAATTCCTACTTGTGAGAGAAACAATACTAACATAATATTTTCCTATCTAAATGGAAACTTTCTTTTCCCTCTATTTTTTTAAAACGAGGATAAGGAGTTTATTTAATTTTTTTTGTATTTCTTTGGATATATTTTTTTTTAGATTCTCTCCCTCTTCCCCCATTTTCTCTCTCTCTCTCTCTCTCTCTCTCTCCCTCTCTTTCTGTACCTCTTTTTTTAATTTGAAATTTACATAATTCTTGATTGTACCTTTCTCTGTGATTCACGCGGCAATTACCGGTGACCACAAACGATACCGCGTTAACGTTTCGAGCGATTCCAAGCAAGGCAGAGAACAGGGGATAGCTTCAAACTTACGAGGCATGGTCAAACATAACGAGCATCATGAAGAGCGCATTAGCCACTCGAAGCTCGTTAGCTCGACAGAATTAACACGTAATAACCACTTCTTTCACGCATTAAATTTCAGCACCTCGGCACAACAAACTTGAATAATTCACCAATGATTGCATCAGTCATTAGCTTCTCTACGTTCCAGGAGACTAATGCGAAGTTTCGATTCTATTCGCTACTCTTGGATTTAGTAAAATTAAATTTAAAATTTTATGAATTTGTGTGCCGTAGTATAATATATATCATATCATACGATATATGTATTATATATTTAATCTGCCTATCAAATTACATTAGCTTCAATGAAAATTTTCCCATATGTCGTTTCCTTTAAAATCAATAAAGATTTATATCATTTACAACATAAAAATATATATCTCAAGGCTAAACGCTTAAGAAACCACACCCTGAGCTTTCCGGCATTTGCGTTCTCCGTGACTATTCGTGTTGCTGTTCGTACCTTGTATCTTCGACCGTCATGTTTGACGAGTTAATGCAGATCGAGGTGCTTTCGAGATGAGTACGCAAGTGCGGTTTTGCACGCGAGAACGCGGTGAAACTCTCGCGGAAATTTAGACTCTAAACGAGATCGGGAATTGTCGGGTATCTACGAGTGGATGGAAGCCCGGATCGCATTCGAGGAAAGGCCAGAAAGACAAGGAAACTAAGAAGAAGAAAAGGCAGGAGAAGCGGAGGAAGGGGAGAAAGAGGAGGAAGGAGAAGGATCGCGCGCCGAGGTGAACAATAAAAAATGGAGACGAGCCACCGAGCATCGCCGTGGAACGCCGGAGTTTCTCTCTTTCTCGTAGGTCTGCCTACCTACCTCGCGGTCCTCGTTAACTTTACGAGCCGCTCGTAAAAATACCGTTCGTGGCCTGTTCTCTCGCGGCGCGCCGGTAATGTCTTCATCTCGCTGGATACGGACTCCGAGGTGAATATAATGTACCATAATCGGCCGACCAATTACTTAACGACGATAAACAATTAATCCCCTCGACGTGAGCGGGTAGCTCGCTCTACGTTGATACGTAAGTCGAGACGGAGACAAGTGGCGATATAACTGGTCATTTCATCACCGACATAGAAGTAATAGACGTAGATTGCACATTCCCCAATTTTAGCATATGTGCTCCGTTAGAAAGAACTAAATCATATCAGCATCTTTTTTTAATACTTCGATATTTGAAAGAGAGAGAGGGGGGGGAGAGGGAGAGAGAGAGAGAGAGAGAGAGAGAGAGAGAGAGCGAGATATGATATTCGAGCTATCTCACTCTTTCTAAACAATAGATATAATCAAAAGAAATTGGAATGAATAAGGGCAATAGGAGTCAGGCGCAGAAGACGTCGCGCAAATTATATACCCATAAAGCGTAAAACTTTTTTATTCTACTAAACGCGCTTACATGTTTCGGCTCACTTTTGAGCCCTCTTTAGAGACAACACAAACTAACATATATAAAATGTGAATAAAAGTTATCTTGCATGGTGAGCTCCCCTACATCGAGAATATAAATGCCAGAAATTAAACCCAAATAAGAATGGAAGAAAAAGAAAAAAAAAAGGAAATATTGGAAATATCGAAATAGAGAAAATGGAAAACACACCACCACACACACACACACACACTAATTTAACAAAAAACTTTAAAATTATAATTAATTATCCTGAAAATAAGGGCGCTTACCATGATCACAAGGCACCATATCGCAAACATTACTATTAATAATTCAAAAATCTTTCTAGCGTGATTTTGGATTACTTTCCAACTTTTATTTTCTTGGAATTGATTAATGTCTTAACGTTAGATTTTCCCATTTGTAATCTCGAAAAAGACTAACTAAATCTAAAAGTGACTCTGTGTCTGATACTGACTGACCAACATATCAAGAACCGGTTTTTGAATTATTAATAGTAATGTTTGCGATATTGTGCTTTGTGATCATGATGAGCGTCCTTATTTTGGGGATAATTAATTATAAATTTTAAAGTTTTTTGATAAATTAGTGTTTTCCATTTTCTCTGTTTCGATATTTCCAATATTTCCTTTCTTTTTTCTTTTTCTTTCATTTTTATTTGGGTTTAATTTCTGGCATTTATATTCTCGATGTAGGGGAGCTCACCATGACAAGATAACTTTTATTCACATTTTATGTATGTTAGTTTGTGTTGTTGAGCCTCTGAAGAGGGCTCAAAAGTGAACCGAAACATGTAAGCGCGTTTAGTAGAATAAAGAAGTTTTACGCTTTATGGGTGTATTATTTGCGCGATGTCTTCTGCGCCTGACTCCTATTGCCCTTATTCTTTTCAATGTCTTTTGATTTATAAGGAGTCTTTGTTAGTTTGATTTGTTAAACAGATATAATAATAGACTGCGTATTTTTTTTCCCTATATTATGGAGTTGTCATTATTAGTTTAAAAAGAGTGAGGTAGCTTGAATCATATTTTCGTTCTCTCTCTCTCTCTCTCTCTCTCTCTCTCTCTCTCTTTGTCTAAAATATCGAGTTGAAAAGAGATGTTGATATACTTTCTAAGGGAGTACTGCAGATGCTAAAAATCAGAGAATGCGTTTTCTGTTCTTCTATTCTTCTACGTTTTAAACCGATAATGACAGCTCCATATTATAAGAATGCATAGCCTATTCTTAAGCCCATAGTATATACAGAAAAACTTAAACGGTAAGTAGTAAACGAATCGGCCAATTACAGTTGAGAATGTAAGGTCATAAGCAATAGTAAACTCCTCACTGCTTACCTCTTACTACTTAAGTTTTTTGTATGTCGTGACCCTTATCACGCCTATGATTGTCAAGAACAGATATGAATTACATCGCGATATCTCGTTTATTCATATTCGTGAACTAAAAATACCATTCGATTATACCGATTTTCGTGTCTTCAGAAGTTGCGGCTTTAACTCCTCGCTGTATCGATTAGAGAGGGTTGATTCAAAGACGGATTGAGAGACTACACGGGATAAATGGCCAAAATTTCAAGCGTGCTGTACAAGCTTAACACGTCACTACTGCGGTCGTTAGGATAACTGGACAGCAATCGAGTGGACAATGCCGAAGGCGTTCCGGTTGTTTGTTCGTAGTTTCCATCGCGACGCTCTTACAGAGGTTCGCTGTGTAATTACACTAATCTCTCATTATCAATTCATAAAAGAGATCACCTCGTCCGCGAATGCACGCATGCGACGCGCCGTTGAATACAGCCTTCTCGGCCTGTAACCACGGCGGACTGACATCCATCCACTGTGCTCGCGAGTAACCCTAACGAAATTAACCGGCTAACGAAATTGGCTTCGTGCGGTTTCTTTTATTAAAAACGGCACTCTTCGCTCAAAAATTTGATGTACGCACGCACGTAGGCGCGCACACACGTGCACAGGAGCAAATCGAAGGAGCAAGCCGAACGAGCAACAATGAAAAACTGAAGGTAACAGGGGTGGGAAGAGATCGAGCGGTGTAGCAGGGAAAGATAGATACAGGGACGGAAAGACAGAGAGAAGCTAAAGGACGAAGAGAGGAAGAAACGGGGAGAAAAGAGAGAAAGACCGGGATAGCAGGTCGAGGCAAGGAATTTGCTCGCGGCATGGATACCTATTAGGTGGATACATCGTTTATATACCCGGCACGCACTTCATCCGTGGGAGCGCACGCGATACCCTCTGCCGGGTTTAGCCGTCATTATTGTTATTAATAATAGTACGTAACGACCGATAATTGCTCAAGTCTGCCTGCGCCTCTGGTTTCCATTACCTCACAATCTTCCCGGCATCGTCCACCGGATTGACGGATACCTCCCCCGTCCCTTCCGCTTCTCTGCCAAGACTCTGGTCTTCGGCAAAGTCCGCGACAGAACGCGAATGACGGATGATGCATGCATGTAAGTACGAACGACGTCCACGTCCTTCCACGATGAATCCGCGCGTAATTGGGGTCGGGAGGCGAGTCTCGATGGGACCCTTTACGCCCGATGGTTGACGTTGATATTAGCACGCGAGCGTGACTTTCGTTTCTTCGCTTCTATCGTTTCGCTCGCCAGAAATGGGGCAAAAACAGCGGATACGCGGTATATCTTAAGCACAACGTATACAACTTTGAATACATATTATTAGTAACAGTGTAGCATTGACAAAAAAGATGAATTTTCTAATATAATGCATACAGAAAGAACGATTTTGCTGAAATATCTATAAAAAACATAGCTATAGATACAGATCTAAAAATAATTTTGTTGGATTATCAAAATAATTATGCAGAATGCTTAAACCTGTTGTTAAAATGTTAAAACTTTTTGTAGGATTGTCATCAACGTTTAAGCATTTTACATAATTATTTTAATGGTTTAACAAAATTGTTTATATAGATCTGTATGTATAGTTAAATTTTTAGATACTTCTACAAAAATTAATTTTCTTTTTGATTGTGATTGCAATGTATCCGAATCGTATCAATCATCATTGTTTAGTAAAGTTTTCATATACAATTAACCGATATCATATATTCGTTTATATTCTATTATTTGAGATTGAATTATATTTTCAATTTACAATACCTTTATTTTAGATCCTTTGGCTATTAACTTCTCCTCTTTATATATAACAAGCCTGATGTTATTTTTTATCATACATCGATATATACACAATAATAAATTGTGACAATCTTGCGTTTCGCGGGTTTTCTCCGTGTTCAGATCCATTCTTGGAATGCCAACGTTTCGTGAACCTTGCAGTTCACTTCATCAGGGCGAGGAGCAGCCTGTATCAGCAGTATCAGGCTGCTTCTCGCCCTGATGAAGTGAACTGCAAGGTTCACGAAACGTTGGCATTCCAAGAATGGATCTAATATAAATAATGAAAAATTTACTTCTAAAACGATCCATTTTTCGTACGAAACGTTTTATAATATTAACAAATTTTATGTATTATAATATTTAATTGATTAAAATTTGATTCGTTAGAATGTATCGTTTGTACGTCTTTTACAGTATCAACAACATGCAATCGATGATATGCATAACCTTTTCGTACTTATGATATATATGCTTATGGAGCTGTGCGCGTCTTAGCATTCACTTGTAGATACTAATTAATTCATGACTAATTGACTGCTGCGTTGCTCATTGTCTTTCCCACGAGTAGCAAATTATAACTTCGGTTTCTATGGAATATATGACAGTGGTGAATTTAAACAGTAGACTTAAAATACATGTATTTTTACCTGTGACCGATATTTTATTAACGTTTTATTTAAAATAAATGTCTTTATAAGTTTAAAAGAGAGGAGCGAAAGGGGAGAGAGAAAAAGAGAGGGAGAGAGGAAGAGCGACGGCTATCTAGTAAACTATGATTTTTATAAATAGCACTAAACTTATATTAATCGCTCTAAGCATGCAATTTAATTCTTAAGCGCGCGATAATAACACTAAAAATTATCATGAGCTAATGCGCAGTGGCTATACGTGTGCAGATAATTTTCTTATATCACGATGTATATTATGTAAGCATCCTGTTCTAATTACCGCATTATGAATCCACCCAGATATACGAAGATAGGATTGATGTCCATTTGCCGGTAGCACGCGATGTTAAACATTATATTGCGACGATTGCCGTGATTTTTGTAATATATGCATTTATATTTTCTCTCTTTTTTATGTTTTTCATACATTATAAAGTTGTTTATATCTTAAAAGACTAACATTCGATTCTGCTAATGATTCATTTTAATAATCTCAGTTCAATTTACTTTATATGTTTTTCTAACTTTTATGATTAGAAAAAAATAAACAGTAAGTAAAAACCGAAATTGAAGTTAATTTACGTTGGTAGAAACGGACGTAAGACATTCCTAATGCACCTTGTATGGAACAATATCCAAGACGATCGAATGTTTACGTGAATGGAACAAATTACATTTAATATACCGTTCAATTATAATGTATAATGTTACAATTATCACTCTTTTCACATCAATCACTCCTGTGAAAGATACATTCGGATTCCAAGGCGCGTGCATCGCGTGATTTTCGGGAATTACGGCGAGCTTCGCGAGTTTTGGCATGGCCGAGCTGCCGAATAGGGCGCAAAATATAAATGTGCCATGCCGCGGTGCCATTTACGAGCGATTTTATCGAGGGCCAGGAGTTTTGCCAATGCACCGTGTCCTTGAAGCCCATTTTATCGTGTTTCAGGTACGTTGCGCCCACCGGGTCTGATTGGTGGCAGTAAGCCGAAAGTAGCGACACCGGCTGTCGTCGCTAAGATTGAACAATATAAAAGGGAGAATCCGACTATCTTCGCTTGGGAAATCCGAGAGAGGTTAATCTCTGAAGGTAAGATAATAATTGCCAAATCGACACTTATTGGAAGGATATTTCCGAGTCACTCCTGCAAGAAAGATGACACTAATCGAAATTTTTCGAATTTCGTATTATGTGCGGATGGTGTCCTAAATACATTGGCCTTCAATCAAGAAAAATAATACAAATCAAAATAGGGACAGTTTTTAAGAGTTTAACATAACAAAATTAATATTTATATTTCTTCTAAATTTGAAACTTGAAACAAGCAATTTATAATTAGTTCTAATTATTTATATTAATTACTTATGTTTAATTCCTAATAGGAATACGTATTTTTTTGTGATGTTAAGGAAACGTATGGATCCTTGAGATTAAAGTTTTTTGTGTTATTAAAAGTTTAAAAGATTTTAAAATTTACAATTATGTATATAAAAAATTGCAACATCTGGACTCTTAGCATAAATATATAGTATACGATAATTAGAACATCAATAAAACAAAAATAAATTTGTGAAAAATAAGATTTCGAAATAAATTATTCGAAATTACACTATTTAAAAATTAAGAAAATGTTTACAGGGTCATTAAGACCATTTTCAGTTACGGGTACATCTTCTATAAATATTTTTTATAAAAGATAAAAAATGTATGCAAAAGAGATAAAAAATTATTTGCAAAAACAGAGATAATAATTTGCAAATCGATTATTTTACGGTGAATGAAGAGTGACTATGAACGTAATAATTACGAAGTGAAAAGATTGATCAACTTGTCTCACATTAACATTGATTAAGATTTTTCGCAGTATATCTCTTAGAACACGCTTAGTCATAACGTCAAGTGCTAGCGCGATGCATAAACTAGCGTGTTCCTTACTTAATTATGCTCGTCCTCTGTAAGCCATGCGAACGCACCGTCCATGATTACAGACGCATGTATGAGTAACGTATAATTTAACGAAAGAATTAAGAAACGCGTTTCTGCGACCTTACTTCTTGACACACATACCATTCTCGAAGCATTCGTGCTAACACGAATATCATTATAATAAGCAAACTTTGATATACCTTTTGCTGCAACTATAGATCTTATAGATAACAACTGGCAATACAAATATATACACATAAGGTTGTGTCTATACTTCTCTCTCTAGAAGAGTTCAGAAATACGCGCATGCTTGACCCATATTATACATTGGATATGTTTTATTGAGATTTTATATAAATACAAAATCGAAGTAACATTTTGTGTATTTTTTTGTAATTATCCGTATTTTGTATTTTCATAAAGAATCTTATTTCCTTCGTAATAATATATTACTTTTACTTCTGACATAATATTAACGCGCTCTGTACAGAACAGATCATGTGCTTGCAGCAATATTGCAATGTTTTAGCAATATTGTAGTAACATTCTAAACGTTGCAACAAGTGCAAATTTTGCATTTGCTGTGAGTTTTATGCTAAATAAAGTTTACGATTGCAATTAACAAAATTTGACTTTAAAGACTTTTAGCGTCAAAATAGTTGCGTCATGCTTATAAGATTAATGACAACGAAGTTGTGAAAAATTCTGTTCATAATGAGATCTTTGTCGTATTCGTGCTATTATGTGTTAACGGTATCTTCGCGATTCGCGTTGACCGCAACGTCGGCATTCGCCTGTTCCAGGGGTTTGCAGTAACGCGACAGCGCCGTCGGTCAGCAGCATCAATCGGATACTGCGGAACCGCGCGGCGGAACGCGCGGCTGCGGAATTCGCGCGTGCCGCTGGTTATGGTCTGTACGCGGCCGCTGGGCCGCATCCGTACTTCAATTCACACCAGCATCCAACGACGAGCCATCATCTGCCGGCGGGTTGGCCGGCGCCGGGAGCAGCCGGACATCCGTGGATGCTGCCGCCTCTTGCAACCGGTATATCCGGCGCCGCCGCGTCTGCTTTGCTTTTGCCACCGTCCCTGAGTCCCGGTGCGGCCGCCGCCGCGGCCGCAGCCGCGGCCGCGGCCACGCGTCCGCGTCCGCGGGCACTTCCGAACACGCACTTCATGCCGCCGACGCGATCGCTCGTGGATATCTACAAGGTGACGAAAGAGATACACCTTTGACGTCGTGACGCGAAATTATCCTACTCGATAAAATATCCTACACCTAGTTCTATAAAAATATTTTGTATTTTTATCCCAAAGATTAAATTAAGTCATTCAAATAAATTAATTAGATTCCCAGATTTGCGTGTATAATCATAGAAATGAAAACGAAGAAGAGAGAGAGAGAGAAAGAGAGAAAGAGAGGGAGTTTTTTTAATTCCGTGACGAAAATTTTTAATGAAAGATTGTATTCATATTTGTCTATGAAGAGATTTATCGATAGTTATACTGTTTATAAAAAGTTTTATTGATGGTTACATCGTTTGGAAGCATGACGCAAACACTGGTGAATCTGCTGACAATAACATTTTTCAAACATTTCGAAAACTATATGGAAATATTTGAGACTACGTCATTAAGATTCATTTCATAGTTGTGTACACCTTATAAACAATTTCTTGTTTAAATTTCAATCTCATAAACATTTCAATAAATGTTTCAAAGTTTAATGAAACAGCTATTCAAGACTTAAGCGGATTTCTTATAGACTTTCACTAAACATACTATTTTTATCAGGAAAGCTTTTAATCTTTCTTATTTTTCATTATTGAAGATTTAATTTTGTTATTAATGTTTAAGCGATTTTAATTAATATTCGTACAATATCTTGCTAAATATTTATGGTTATCAGTATTCATATATTGAGCAAATAGCTGCATCAAATTATTCGCCAATTAAAAGTTTTCTATATGCTAACCTTTTAAACGTACCTATTATTTTATATTTCCTGTAGAAAAATCAGAATATTTTCATATCAGTCATGTATAAAACTATTCTAAATATAAATTTTCTCAATTTTGTATTTATTTAGAAGTTATACAGCATATTTTAAATTTTGTTAGGTAGTTCAATAATATAAAATGTTAATAAAAAATGTTTATTATTATTGGGCTGTTGTATACAGAAACGCACAGCCCAATAGAAAACGTTTTTTTTATTAATGTACAGATGGCGACGGTGATGACGGAAGCTTAGACGGTTCGGAGCAGCCAAAGTTCCGGCGGAACCGCACGACTTTCAGTCCGGAACAGCTCGAGGAACTCGAAAAGGAATTCGAGAGATCGCATTACCCGTGTGTGTCCACGCGCGAACGTCTCGCCTCGAAAACGTCGCTCTCGGAAGCCCGCGTTCAGGTGAGGATCTACCATTAGATAAAGATAAAGAGCCGATGCGACGACGCAGGGTCTAATTCGACATTTACATATAAATTGGAGAAGACCCTGCGGACAACAGCCGCGTCGTTCCTGTCCGACTTGATCACGAGCGTTCTAACGACCTAACTCGTGACTCTTAGGTTTGGTTTTCCAACAGACGGGCAAAGTGGCGTCGTCACCAGCGCATGAACCTCTTAAAGCGTTCGCCACCACCGCCTCCACCACCACCGCCGCAGCCGCAGCCACCGCCGCAGCAACCGCACTCCGCTACGTCCGCTATGGAAATCGGCCAACGTACGTCCAGCTGCTCCATCGCCGGCATGGGCGGCGAAAGTAGCGCGTTCCGCGCGGTTGTCGCTAATTCCGTAACCAGGGACACCGGCCTCGACCGACCCGAGAGGATCGACAGGCATGAGTCGGTACCAAAGCAACCGGAAAGGAAACCTAGCGCCTTCCGGATGATTAGTCAACTGGTGGGTGACGATTCGTCCGGACTTTCGAGACCGACCAGTCCCGCGTACGATCAGCGGCAATCATCAGGTCTTGGTCCACGTCCAGGATCGGCGCATAGGATACGCTACGATCAGAACGAGGACGAAGACGAGGAAATCGATGTTCAAGACTCCGATCAGGATACACCGTCGTCGCCATCGGTCGCTTGGAGAGATCATTGGACTGACCAACAACCGTTGGAACTGACGAAGCACGATCGCTGAACGAGATGTGATATCTCAGTTTTGATTTCAAATGTGATCGTTAAATCTGGAGTAATGTTTTCGCAAAAAAATCAAGCGGTCGTATTACAGTTTTTATTTATTGAAAAATATTAGCTGGACATAAATCGCGTGGATCAGCAACTATCAGTGTTCAAAGCATGTTGCTGCGTCAGTTTTTTTAATCTATTGGTAACCGATAAGAGTGCAAAAGTGAAAATGTTTTTTTTTACGGTGCGCGAAGTACAGAAAATCACGATATATATTTATAGTAAACCGCAAAACATCGATCCGGAATCGACGTTATTAGCACGCGAGTGATCAAGTGATAAACTGATAACGTGCTGCATCTTCAACGGACTCGAATCGATAATTATCGGCATGAAGCATCAGATGTGGCACCGTGTATGTGTTTATCTAATATTCCTTCTCTTTTCATTATTGTCGGCTCGGCTCTTCTCTTTATTGGTTGAAGTTTTTAATATCTACGGAATTGCTTATTACACGAACATGAACGATTTCTTACGATCGCGGATGCGAATAAGTGTTGCGAGCTGTATAATATTAAAACGCAACGTCATCAATGTCATTGTAATTATTATTGTTAGATAAGTGATCGATGCATATCGCGTGGTAAAAGTAAACGCTGTTAGATCGCTCAAGTCTACCTGGGAAGCCATTCGTGCGAGTAGAGAATAAAACTATATACCGTGAAGAAAGAATGAGATTATTCGAGCTCATTCGGAACTAGTCCTAGCGAATCTTTATAAATTAGGGATATGCGTTAACTAAGATATTTGAAATAGAAATAATCGGAAACACAGATAATTCTATATGAACTGTGTTAAAATAATGTTTATTTAAATGAAACCGTTTGTAAATATCTACACACGGCGTCACAACCCATTCTCTCTTGCAAACTCTTCCAAATTCTCCTAACTATCCTCCGACAGACAAAACTGTTTTTGGCGAGCCATCAAATATCCGCACAATGAAATATGTTATATTGAATAAATTTACATAAATATCTTACACTCTCATTTATTTAGTCAATCAATTTCCTTCCAATCCTAAATATCTTAATTGTTTATGTATTATCCAAGAAACAAGGCAACATCATTTTTGCGTCAAAATTTGGCGTCAAAGATTTATTAATGTCGCATGCTCTAACATGCTCCAATATGCTTCTACCACAGCTCCTATTCACTCCAACGTGTTTGAAGTGAATAGCTTGTTAGTAGCAGCATGTTGGAACATGTTGGAGCACGCGACGTGAACAAATCTCTTGTTTCCAGAATAGTTTTCAAAAATTACTTTAAACTTAAACACACAAATTACTTTACCCAAACTTAAACATTAAAAACAATAAAGTATAAAAAAGTATCAAAATGCAAGACATTCACTTAATAATCTGAATTTAACAACTGTTTATTCTCTTTATGAACTGTACATATTTATATAATCAATACGTAAAATAATCGATATCACAAGCTGCTCCAGGTGCCCTCTGATTTATGCCTCTACGGCAATTATCTTCGATGAAATATATTTCCGCATATCTCCTAACGCGGTACAAGATATTCCGCTACGGATCGCGCACCTGAAGTCTAATACTCTTCCCGTGCTTATCTCTTATTAAACTGCTCGCGAATATCGACTTCGCGCCCGTTCAGCCGTGTACATATCTACTTAAATTGCCGTTTTGTCAATAGCCAGAAGAAAAGGAATGAGCACGGTACAAGAAAGGTAAAATTATCTAGCCTGCTTAATGTTCCATAGAACATAGCACAAATTTGTCGGATAACGTTCGATTTCCTGTGCAAAAAATTTAGAAAATAATCCTGAATAGTCCCTTCTTTTGCTCTTCGCGAATGCACACGCGCGTTATCTGCCGCGAAAGTATTCATACATCGCGTGTTTTCTCTCGCGCTTCAAGTTTTCATTAAATACCTATACTTAAATGCGGTAGAACTAAAATTCGCGGCGGATAAACGTCAATTGTACAATCAGAGAAAAACAATAAAAGTTTATATTATGTAGAATTAATGTATAAAATATATAGCTGAAAAACTATTTTATAATTGTAATAATAACTATAAAATAATTCATCCAACTACACACACACATAAAAAGAATGGTTTTGTTAAGTATCAAAATTTTAGCTAGATATAAATCTGAAAATAATGTTGTTTGGATCATCAAAATAATTATGTAGGACGCTTAAATTGGTTGCCAGAATGTTAAAACTTTTTACAGCATTGTCATTAGTGACGTTCAGCAGAAAAACAACTTAGCACAGCTGTTGTATAACATTTTTTAATATAATTGGTTTATACATTTAGATCCAGTAAGGAGCTAACCTCAGGAGGAACTAAAGACGAAATCAATTATATAAAGAATTTTGCAATAGTGTTGCGAAGCTATTTTTCTACTGAACATAGCTAACGTTTAAGTTGCATAATTATTTTGATGATCCAACGAAATTAATATCAGATTTATATTTAGCAAAACTTATAGATATTTTAGCGAAATATTTCTTTCCATGTACATTAATTCGATATTTAAACTTGTACAGTTGTCATTTGTATATTGTCATCAACTATGTTATTTTGTCTGAATGCGCCTGATGACACAATCACTGCCAGGACAAATCTGAAATCCACTCCCTCAACAACAGAGGGAATCTCATCCTGAGGCTAGTCGGAAGACTGCGAGTAGCGTCGACCCAAAGGATGCTTGAAGGCAAAGATTGAGGAGGATAGGTGCAAGGAAAGGGGGAGAAAAAAGCGCGCGAACGAGGGAAGGCTCATCGACGATTAACTCGAATCTACGGTTTCGTTGGGCTCGCAAATAAGGAATCTGCGCGCGAAACTGGTTTTCTCCAGGCGACACTCTTCCACGAGCAGAATCGCTTGTTGCCGTTGAGAGCACGAAAACATTGGATCCTCGCGACATTTCGGATATCGTGGCCCGCGTCAACGGTCAACGTGAGCGGCGAATTTATGGACACGCTCGGCTTCACGAGCCGAGGATATGCGCACGGCAGGACGAGGAAACGCGGAGCCAACGGACTTGGGAGATCGAAGGAAGACCAGGGAGAGACGAGACGAGAAACGAGAGACGTCGCCGAACATGTAATACGAGTGGACTCGTTAGTGGCGTTAACACGACGAATCGATGTACCTTTTCACGCGCATCTCTCCTTTTGGTAGCCAGACTCTGGAATGAGAATTCTCTATGATTCTACTAGCGCGTGAATGAACCGATTTCGACAGCCTGGTCGGCAATATGGATATCAGGATAGGTAATACCAAAAAACGGGTCCCGCGAGAAGTCACGCAGTCAGGCTTGCAAGTGGTATATGAGGCTTGCGGGAGCGACCATCATACGCAAGTAATTTGAGCCGTCTGAAAGTGGACGGAGAAACAGATGGAGGATACCCAATAACGAAATCAGAGCCTGGATAAAGGATAGCGATCGTGTTGGTTTCTTTATTGAGAGAAAAGGTCCACCGTTTCCTGAAGGACTGGCTTTGAACAATAACAAATGATTAGAATTTAAAGAAAGTTTGCTGATCGATTCTTTTTCAATTAATTGTTCTTTAAATTTGTTATCGATTACTTTTTCTTTCCCGGATCGTCGTAACTTTAAACGTGCAGTTTTTACATGAAAAGAACGATTTTGCTGAAGTATCTAAAAATTTAATTAGATATACATCTGAAAATAATGTTATATTATTAAAATAAAATAATTAAATAATAAGTATAAGATGTTTAAGCATAATTAGTAGTGTTGCAAAAAGTTTTAACATTCCAGGAAGTAGATTGAGCTTCTCACATGATTATTTTGATGGTCTAACAAAATTCTTTTCAGAGCTGTCTCTTAAATTTTGAGATACTTTAGCACCATAACTGTTCTTTTCGTGCAGCTTCAGCCTATTCAACTTCCGCACGCGCGATTCCATTCACCTGCCGTCGTTATACGCTATACAAGCTAAAGAGATTCAACGCAAACACAGTCGGCAGAAGAGTGGCGAACGGATATCGGCATTGTAGTGCCAACAGACTCGCCAAAGGCGTTAATGCTGCCGGTGGGTGAGGATCGGTCGGCGACTCCCGACGCGAAGAAAAGAGACGTGCGAGCGAGCGCGTGCACGCACGTGGAATAAGAAAGGTGGGAAATAGAACGCGAAGAGAGACGTGCGAGAGAGGGACGACTCGAGTCCTCGGAGGAGGCTCGTCGGACACGGTCGAACGGTCGGCCACAGGAAAGCAGAACGTAACAATTACTATCTGCGCCCGATCGGCGCGCGGCAAGATTAACGATCTTACTCTCTCGGCGGGCACGTCGGCCCCGTCTCAAGCCGCGATTGCTTACGGAAGGGGTGTAAGATGGGAGAGAGCCAACGTTAAAGTCACCTCCTCCCTTGCTCAATGAGATATTGCCTGCCGAGATAGCGCGTTCGCTCCAAATCGCATATTACCAGGTTCACACGGAAAGAACGGTTCAAGTATTTAAAAAAGCTAGATACAGATATGAAAATAATTTTAATAACTAATAATAAAGGAAAATTATACGGGCTAGGCTGTTAACTGTGCCTAGGCTGTTAACTTGTAATTCTTCTAAAAATATTTAATATTACAACGTTACTTATGTCTCGGTTAATTTCAAGCAATCATCAGTCAAGAACAAAGAAAAATCGATGTGTTGACTCATATCAAATTATGCTACCAGTCGTGGTTCATATAAGGTGATCAAAATCACCTCCAAGGGAGTTATTCGCAACTAGTCGGAAAGCTGAGTGGTATCAAATAAATCGAAACTTAAATATGATTAAAATAGTTCAAACTAAAAGATGAAAAATTCAAAGAGGCAAATATAGTTTAAAGATTGACTTATTTCAAGGACATAATCAATATATGATAAAAAAATATATAAGCATAAGGTCTAATATTCTGATGTGAAATACGTAAGAAAATTTAAAGAAACAGCCAAAGGATGTAATCAACAATTAAAAATCAATAAATTATAAAGTGAAAATGTGGAGTTAATAATAGTTACATGTCAGAAATTTAAAAAAATATTATTTAATCTTCAAAATAATTATGTAGAATGCTCAAATTAGTATGTCAAAACTTTTTACGGCATTGCTTTTTATGCTTGAATGTCCTATATAATTATTTTTATGGTTCAACAAAATTATTTACAGATCTGTATCTATTTAAATTTTGAGATATCTCAGCAAAATCGTTCTTTCCGTGCAGACATAACCGCGTGCATAGCTTGCATGTTTAAGTTGAGATATAAGGACATTAACGAGAATAAGGACGAAAGAATTACCGACAGACACGGCTTGTTGTTTGATCATCGTAAATTGCGTTAAGCCATTTCCGTCACACTGATCAGTGAAAAAATATTCAAACATTTCGTGCAAGAAAGAGGGAACACTGAACGACGAACGCCTTCTCTTAATTGACGAAAGTACGCGTTAACATCAAGCGCGAGATAAGACAAAAAGTTTATATGCATTAACAAATGTCTTGAGATTTTTATTCGGAATAAAAGGCCCTATGTGCATTTTTTTAGAGATGGACACGTAGACTTTTATTAATGAGATTACGGAATAAGACACCTCATTAATAAATAATTCGCTTTTAAAAATTATATAAAAATTGCATTTTAATTGCATTCATCTTAAAAATCTCCTTCAACAGTGTAGAAATAATTAAATAATCGATAGCTCTGTATATACAATAATCAAGACAATCACTTGGGCGCTCAATAATCGCTTATCTATATAAGTCTGTTTCCTTTTAAATTCTCGCAAAATATAAATGCGACGACACTGCATAAAAACATTACAGCTTAATTTAAGCGTCGATATATCGAAAGTGTCGAAGCCTTTCAAAATGATGTTTGCTCGTTACTAAGGATCCAGAAAGAAGGAGGAGAAAAAGGTTTTGACAGAGAAGCGAAAGGAGAG